AGCAGGCTGGCGGATCGTCGCGCTCGGTCTGCAGTCAGTCTAATGCGCTGCGCTGCGCAATAACCCAGCAGAACCACCTGTGCGGCTCCGGTGATGCTCCTCTCGTCCTGTGGGAATGTCTGAATGAGGACGAACAATCCCTCTTTTATGTGATTGCATTTGTGCGCCTTTTCGTGGAGTATCGCAACATGGACTAATTGCATTATCCACCATGGGATTATTACAGTTGTTTGTTGGATTATTTTACGCGGCGGCAGGTAGGCAGAGACATCAATTATTAGAGTCTGGTCCGATGATTATGAGTGCAGGTGGCTATTATCAGTTATTTCTCAATAGCTGCTCATGCATTCATCTCCATGCAGCTGTCCAAGCCAGTAATCACAGATTCAGAGGTGTATTCCGTGCTAACATCACTATTCTTGTTATATTATGGCTATTATAATTCTTTTTAATGGCTATTTTAATGCATTTTAATGCATAAATCAAATTATGATTACATATATATAAAAATATACAATAGTCATACAATAACAGCTGAAAGTGAAGTCATTTTATAATTGTTGAAATTTATCAACACTACTATTTTTATGTATTGTACAAAGCGCTGTATACATAAATGTGACTTGACTTAAATATATTAAACATGTAATATATAGGCTACAGGGTTCCCATGCTCACAGAAGATCAAGGAATTAGATTTCCAGGCCTGGCAAAGTCAGTGAAAGTCATGAAAAAGATGCTTTGTGTGTGTGTGTGTCTGTGTGTGAACACTGAATGCTATAATGTTCTTACCGATGTGAAATCGTCTTTGTTTTAATGGTGTGTGTTGTGATTGTGTTGAAGTCGCTGCGTTCGGAGTGGATCCGGCGGTTCGGATCAGCGTTTTCCAAGAGTTCAGTCCTGGAGAAGGGTTTTCCGGCGTGACACAGGTGCAAGGTTTCCGTGACGACACGAGAGCGTTCCTCTTCCAAGGTAAAACTATAAAGATTGCAAACAAACAGGAAATAGATTTTAGTATTGAAAATGCGAGTTTCCCAAATCTGGTTGGAACTTCCTAGGATTTGTGCTTCTGTTTATCAAGAATCAACACATGCTACGTAAAAACAGCATTTTATATGCATGTGCAGATGTGTGCATGTTTCTTTAGAGTCAGGAATGATAAGGTTGTGTTTGGGTGTGACATAGTAGCTCTGACATAAGGCAATTGCAATGCAAACGTGCATACATGTCTATTTTGTGTTCTGGTCATTTTCCCCCCAAAAAATGCTTGTTAATGTTATCGCATTGGACTAAAATGTACTGACTTTGCTCACTCAGGGTATGACAACTATCCACCCCCAAAAACGATAATATTGTATTTTTTGGGATTTTTTTCCCACGCTCAAAAAATGACCGGCCTACATAAAAATAACTTGTAAATAATCAACTTATTTTGTTGCAATTAGCACAGGCTTTGCATTTCTCTTTTGAACTGATTGGTTGATCTGAGCTAATGCATCACAGTTTTTAAGTGAAGAAAGCATTATTTGTGGATAATTTTGGTAATGTTCACTCAAGAATGAGGATTCAATCTTCTTCGATCTTCATGGGTTCAATTGTTTTATCAACTTGTTTTCTTTCAATTAGCTCAGGCTTTGTATTCGTTTTGGGAACTGGTTGATTGTAGGCAGCATTGGGGTTTTTTGTTATTTAAAAACAAACAAAAATAAAGCAAGCTCAGCCCAGATGACAAAAAGTAACACAAAAGTAACTCCAAAGTAATGCATTACTTCACATAAAAAGTAACTAAGTAATGCAATTAGTTACTTTTTTATGGAGTAACGCAATATTGTAAAGCATTACTTCTAAAAGTAACTTTCCCCAGCACTGATTGTAGGCATCATTGATTGTTTCAATCAGCACAGGCTTTGTATTTATTTTTGCAACTGAAAAAGCTCTGATTAACCAATCAGCTCCAAAAAGAAATACAAAACATGTGCTAAATGAAACAAAACAAGTTCTTAAGAAGATCCCATATTTGGTAATCATATAGCATAATGAGAGATTTACAAGCCATTTTTGACTGGGAACACCTAATAGGGAGAAGGATTTTCTGAGTAATATTTAACACGTACATTCACAAGCCACTCAACATATCACACAAACGGCTCTGAACAGCTGCACAAGTGCTGAACTGTGTCTAACGCTGGCTGTTTGCTTTGTATCTCGTCTCTGTGGGATGAATGGACCCTCATGGGGCCCCTGACAATTGAAAGGCTCTCTGGAAACAAAGGGCCGTGGCTCTTTATGGAAACAGATGCAGGAGAATAATGGGACGCATAATGAGATTAGTCCTCAGACGATTCGCAGATCTGTGTTAAAGTGGTTCCTCACAGTTTATCTCCAGCGAATTCGGCTGTTGACAAATAATGACCTGTTTGGGAAGCGCGTTATGATGCAACAAGTCGCAAGGTTGGGATGCTGGAAGAGTTCTGCTGAGTGATATGTGCTGGCACTGCAGTTGCTGTTCAGGGAAATAAAAGTTGAAGGAAAGCCATGCGCCGTGACTGTGCTGTGCTGCAACATTCAGCTGCTTTACACGGTTATATCTGCAGTTATGCAATGAGAGTTTTCATTCCCTCATAATGACCTTGCAGCTTGTTTAAAGCCTTGACAGTTCATTTAAATATATTGAAACTTTTTCTGCAGAAAACCTCAGCGTCTTTAGTGAAGAGTGTAATTTATGCACCATTAGTGGCAAAGTGCAAAAATCGGTCAGAATGCAATTCTTTTTGCTGCCACTAGTTGCACTGAAATCACACATTTCAGCTTTATATTTTTCAAGATAAAATCTAAATTAACTGTCTTAATCAGTGTTCCCCATCTTATTGTGAATGACTGGTGCATGTTATTATAAAACAATTTTCTTATTATTTAATATTATTTTTCAACTATCCAATCAGTTGCTCATGGATAAAATCAAGATTTATTCATACTATTTCAGTAACGCAATAAGATAGTGGCATCATTACAGGCATTAAATGACGTGTTTCTTGTCTGAGCGGCGGTGAGATATGCTCTAAGTCACAGTGGGAAGGCCGTGGAGAGCAGCAGGATAAAACCGGAGAGTCGCGGGCTGAACCTTTCCCTTCTAATTGGGACAGCAGGGCATTCATGCAGGTGGAGGGAGTCTGAGACGAGATTTGGACCACAAACAGTTGCATAGACGAGTCTCTGCGGGGTGTTTGAGTTTGTGTACTGAATGCTCACAGCGAACGATTTTAAACTGATTAAAGGTGTTTTTATAGCCACACATGAAAATTTGACGAAGATATAATATAGCATTGCATCAGTGTCTCAGCAATGGATGCTCTGCAGTGAATGGGTGCCGTCAGAATGAGAGTCTGATAAAAACATCACAATAATCCACAAGTAATCCACAGCACTCCAGTCCATCAGTTAACATCTGGAGAAGACAAAAGCTGAAACTAATCCAGCATTAAGACGTTTTTAACTAAAATACATAGAGTCCATAATCCATAATAACTGAAAAAGTGAAAAAGTGCATCTCCTGTTGACTCTCACATCAAAATCCAGCCACATATTTGTTTAGAGCTGTTTAAACGCTGCTTGATCTGTGCAGATTTCTCTCCTGATTCACACCAGAACACTGACTCACTGGAGGAAGAGTTATTATGGATAGAGCACAAAATAAAAGTTTGGTTTGAGTTGAAGAAATTAAGACAGCTTTATATCAAAATTTATAATTAAGCAAATATTTAAAGCACTTTATTAGACAGACAGACATAAATAAATAAATAAGAATTAATAAAACTGCAGTGTTGTGTTGTAAGGAAACTGTTACATTTTCATTTGATTACATTTCAGAAGATTGATTAAATTGTTGAATTTTTATGAATTCAATTGATCAGACATGCTTTCTGATTATTAAAATGTAATTTACCCATTAAAATTGGAATAAAAAATAAAAATAAAAGTTTGGGAACATTTTGGGAATTAAACAGACTTCATGGGAAATAATTGTTGTCACAACGAATGAGAAAAACGAAAAGGTCTAATCTACAAATCGCCAAAATAAAAGTTTGGTTTAACTTGAAGAAATTACTGCAGAATTATATTACATTTTTTAATTAATTAAAAAAATAAAAACTCTGCTCTGCAGCACTTTATTTCATAAATAAATAAACAAATAAATAACTGCAGTGTTCTGTTGTAAAGGAATTGTTATATTTTCATTTGGTTGCATTTCAAAAGTTAAAAAAGTAATTTGTGAATTCAATTGATTATACATTATTTTTTAATGATTTATTTAACCATTAAAATTGGAATCAGATAGAAAACACAAAATGTAAAATGGATTACATTCCATAATGTGACACGAGCAATATATTCACTGAGAGAACATCTGCTTCATCCATGGAATTGACTGGATGATGAAAATGACAGAAGGCGAAAGTATCAACTTTTCCTCAGATGTTTCTCCTAAAATTCTAAAAACAGACACAATTGAATCAACCGTTACATTCAGCACATACACTGCCACAATAGCTCAGTTCTGCAGAATCATTCCAGAAAATCAAATCTCCAGCGATCTTGTGTGTGAGCTTCGGTCCCGCGACTCCTGTGAATCTTTCCCAGCTCTCTGAAACATGCTCTTCAGAGTCTCTGAGCCAGAGAGCCAGAGGGTCACGGAGCGTCCCGGAGGAGCTGAAGGTGCCCTTGACGAGTGCTGGGATTCGTTCCTGTGACCGCGCTGACAGAAGCATGCTCAGCCTTCATGATTAATGGATGCAAATATCACTCTGAGATTTCAGCTGGAATAAGAGGGCTGTACGGGTCACGCTGGACTCCTGAACTGGACACCAGTTACCAAAACCCACTCGTCCAAGATCAGATGAAGCTGAATTTCAGGAATAACTCCCCAGAAATAAAACTGACTCGCCTCATGTTGATCCAAACCCAGCAGTGACAGCAATCCACATCAAATCTGGACTAATGAACATGTGCAGATGTAGAGATGGGTGAGATCTGAATGTCTTTGATGAGCTTTTCACGACACATGAAGATATTCAAATAATGTTCCTAAATACATGACGGACAGATCGACTCTATTTACCTTTTCATGTATTTATTTTCCTCGTGAATTATTCATCAGTGCACAGAATAACAATTATTATTATATAATTATTATTTAAACTTTATAAAATTATTATAACAGCTATTAT